TTTTAACTAAAAGTGTAAAAGAACTGGAAGAAATGGAGCAAGGACTACAAAAACAAGCCCTGCAGTCTTACATACGGTCAGTCTGTCGGTGAGGAAGTCAGTAGTTACTCCATCTAGATCCATATAGAGAGTTTACTCACTGCAGGCTAATGCATGTAGGCTAAAGAAACCTGTGATTTATTGACTTTATAATCTTAACAAAATGATCTATTGAAGCGCTTCTAAAGCAAAATGCAAATATGCATCTTTTTATCCTCATATTAATTTCTGGAAGGATTAAAAAAAACATGCCGCTGGAATGCTGTAATTACCCGCATATCCTTGTTATTGTTTATCAGATGCTGTGAAAAACAGTAAGCAAGAGCTCCGAGCAACTGACACGCTATCAGCCGCTATCTTTCTTTGCCGCTCTGTCAGCCATTAGCCTATAATTTATGCCTTCACACTCTCAAGGCCTTATGCTCAAAGCAATGGCTTTGCTGCGTGCGGGAAAGTTTTTGCTTTCAGTCTGTTGACGGCTGTACATTGACTGATAAACAGAAACGCCGACAAATTGAGTGCTTCTTCACGCCCACTGCAGGTGTTAGAACAAAAAAAACAAAAAAAGGGAATCAAAAAGCTCCCATTGGAGTGGAGGTGTGAATTAAACTCCAGCGCAGTTTGGCATGAAACGTGATGCTGATGTTTAAAGCTTAGAAAAAAGGGAGACAGCCAGAAAGATCCTGAACCAGACTCTTGTGATAGACATTTCTGACCATTGGGCTAAAAGTTGAAGCCAAAGAAAGAATCTAACGATGATATACGATCAAGCTGGAGTTGCTTCATGGACACGTTTAAAGATTTCAAGCAGATATTCTGCATTATTGTCTGATCAGCATCATGGATTTCTTAAGTAAGATCTGAGTGGCTTTCACAGTCCTGAGGCCATGAAACTGGCTCAGCATATAGGAAATTGAATAAGAGAACAAGTAAAAGCACCACATAAAGTTGTTCGTTGTACTGAAACTTATTTATTCCACGCCGGCTGCTGAATCGGCAGCACAGTACATCAATAACAAATTGAACTTGAGGTCAGCCACGGAACTTCACGCATGACTGCTTCATAATGCATCTGAAGTCTATTTTATCCAACCTCGGGTGCAAATAATCCCTACAAATTAATTTTCATCATAGTCTTTCATTTTCAAGTGTTATCGAGTGGGATAGACGCTGAAAATACAGAGGCAAGGGTCAAGGTCTACTTCTTTCTTGTTTAAAAAATGCTTTCTTTTTATTCTAAATTCCTAGAAGACCGCGTTCACCACAGTAAGCACAACTCTCTAACGTGAAACCCACATTTTTCTCAACAGTGTCTCTTGATGTGGCCCGAGGCCGTGCTACTTCTCCTTTTCATCACAAGCTGTTTTTAACACACTGCGGAATGAGAGTCCAGCTCCAAATTAGTGCCCTAAATCCAAACTCATTAACTCTCAGACCAAACAAATGTGTGCCAGAGCGTCTACAACCTGATGTTGAGATTATGAGCATTATAATTCAGCCTTGTTTATTTGGTAATCTGTCTGTGAAAGGATTTGGGCAACTTGACAGCGTTTCCGTCAGACAGCGTGTAAATTCAGACGTGCAGTCTGAGCAGGGGGTGCACACATAAGCTGTGTCTCAATTCAGATACTTCCATTAACCCACTATGTACTTACTTGCGTAGTGGGTAAGTTTTGAATGGGTTGTGCTGACTCATTAGAACATGGATGTGGTTCACGTACCACACCATATGTCCGATTCTTCTTCTTTTAATGGAAAATTGTAACCGGGCGGATCGAGCGATTGTCAACCACCAAAATATCTGCCGGCTTGTTCGCATACTTGACCTCACTTCAGTTTTATTATGAATGAACAAAAACGTACTTTTCCTTTCAGCTCGCTCTTGTTATAAAATAAGATGGTGGTCCCTCCCTTCGACTGCCGAGGATGAGAAGTGTCCAGCTTTCCACACTCCACACTACTCCGTTTTTAAAATTTTAAATGAATACCATCTCCGTCCACACCAGCGTTTTAGCTGCGTATCAGAGTTGATCTCCGTCTACATTAAAATGACTGAAAACGCACAGCTAGAGGCCGGGCATGCGCGTGCCGGTGTAAACATGAAGCACATGGTCTATTTCATAGTTACAGATTTGGCGAAAAGGATAAAGTGCTACAGACAATAAGGAGCTGGGACTATTACCGAACGTAACAGGGGAGTTAAAAGCAGCTGTGGCGGCGGGAAACAGACTGGGAGTTGTCCCAAAGTAAACGGCGACATGCACAGTACAGACTACAAGTGTCATTTGCACGGTTCAAAATATTTTAATAAAAATACCAAATCAAAAACTCTGTGAGTAGCATCATGTTTCTGCTTTGCATGACCCAATCAGAGCGCCAAACGTGAGCATCTGCGTCATCGTTTCTAAAGTACTCTGTTTTTGTCCGTCCACTGTAAAACCCTACCAGCAGTTTTAAAACGAAAAACGGGGTCTGTGGTGTTTTCAAACTTCTCCGTTTTAGGTCTTCATTTTCGCCATTTTAGTCTAGAAGGTCTCTGTTTTAAAACAAAAATGCAGTAGTGTGGATGGGGCCTAAAACTTTTTGATCGTTATGAGTGCACCGTCAGGCTACCCATAGTGCACTGCTTTTTGCTTTTGAGTGAAAGCACTTATGCGCTCAAAATAGGCTGTTTGCATAGTGTGAGTATGGAGGGCGGCGGATTAAGACACAGCAACGGTCACATAGTCAAAGATGTTTTCGTCAGTCTTGATTTGTGCTGAGGTTAAAAGGCCCTGTGGTGTCTGCAGCTACATCAGTGTTTACACTTTCTGTGCTAATCCACAGAGATTATCATTCTAATATTTGCCTTATAATCTGTACATTTAATCTCTGGATCATAATAACATGTCTTGTGTGTGGTTGTTTCATGTTTTTGTCCTCTCTGCTCAGGATTATTAATCTTGTGTCTGATATTTAGCCTCTTATAGAGACGCTCATAATAATAGCAGCAAATCATGCTCTGAGCACGATCTTTAAACATAAGGAGTGCAGTTGTTTGTTTTGAAGTGCAACAGTCTAAAATAATTTACTTAGTCTTCCCTAAGTCAACATAAAATAAGTAGTTTGTTTGAGTTTACATTGAATCATGTGTGTTCCTGCATTGTGTTCTACAGTGTTTCCACAATCAAAATGCATATATATATATATATATATATATATATATATAATTTAAGACACTATTTGAGTTGGAGCTTGGCCCATACTAGACTGAAGTCATTATATTTCAGCCTGTGCTGCTCTGATGTAGACTTCTTTTTTTGTTAATGTGTCTATTGTGAGTCTCCTAACTTAATGAAAGTGCCATACTAAATCACCGGAGTGCCCCTATAAGAGTACTGAGCAATATATACAACATGAGTGATGTTGTGTACAAACTGTATATGGCTGGCGTCTCGCTCCCCAGTGTGACTGTATATAGCAGACTGACTTTGGGTGAAGAGTAGAGTGGACTTTAACCTCAGCTCTTCCTGTTGTCGTCAGTCAGGACAATGAAATGAAAACTTTTCACTGCTTCTTGTCATCTTTAGCTCTCTCCTAAAACAGGGTGTTCATGTTATTAATGCAATCAGTCATAACTATGTTGGCTTGTTATACATAAGTCTTACAGATGGAGTAATTAAAAATTTGATTTGTTTTTGAGTTGAAAGTTAGTTGTAGGATTGTTTTAACTTGTTATTTCTCCTTGTATTAACTGAGGGTGTTTTGGTGAGAGAGGGTGTGCGTGTTACCTGTCTATGTGTATGTGTAATATATGTAGTTTTGTGATGTTCTCTTTTGTATTTGTTCATTATGTATTTGTGTTATAGGACCCCCCCTTGAAAATGAGATGCTGCATCTCATGGGGCTATCCTTCAATAAATTCAAATCAAATGACTCTTGATGAGCATGCAAGCGCTTGCAAAACATGGTCATGTGTAAATAATCCTTCTTTCCTTCAAGACCTGTTACAGTTTGTAGATTCACTCCAGACATGTTTTAATACATAGAAAAAAAAAACTCTGATTTGATTAGCAATTAAAAAATCTTTAAATCCTCTTTGAAGAATCTACAAATATCGGTCGTCTCAATTGTTTAGCTACTGGACACAAGAAGTCTTCGACACCACTGTGTAAGTTGCATGAATAAACATCTCATTAAACACAGATCCCAAATGATGCTTTAGACCACAGACAGTCCAATTCAATAGTCAGATTGTTGATCTTTTCACGAGACAAAGAAAAAATTAATAGAACACCAGAAACTATAAAAGTTTGGTTAAAGGCTTCATGTGAAAGAGATCAATGGCTAAAAAACAACAGATTATTTTTATTCTTACACCAACCTATTTTCCTCAATTCAGTGCAATAACAGTGAAGGCAGTAATAATATTGCTGTATGAATGCTGTATTGATCTCTTGTGGAACATTTTCTCTGTTCTCTGCCATAGAGAGATCTAAAGTCAGGCTCAGGTAGGCTACAGAGCAAGTTTGCAAGCTGGTGCCTTGCTCACCTTGCTCTTCTGCAGGGCAGGAAGTGGTGAAGAACCAGACCCTCCAGTCTAACAATGGTCTCTTTAACAGCGGGGCCACCCGGCTCCCCAACCCCATTAAAAAGGACCTCTGAGTGTCTCAGATCAGAGTCAGGTTGGGACGCACTTTGCCAAAACATGCCTTCACTTTCCTCCTAATAAAACGGTCTTAATCAAGGAGTGTAATGGCTGCTGGGGGGCCCTCGCCTGTGTCTGGGCCCTTGTTCTTAGAGGCTAATAGGCGGAGACCTGTTTGTGTGCCTTTTTTGAAATCCTCCCAGGTCCCTGCTTTGATCCGTACTGCAGAAGTAGGCTGGGGGCGCACACACGCTGCAACGCCACACACACACACGCAGCAACGCCACACACACACACACACAACACACAAACACATCATTTCCAGTGGAGACTGGCACAGAGACGCAGCGCCACGACCACTCCGCTGTGTCTGTTTGGTACGGACTGCTGAAACTTCTGCGAGAGAGACAGAGAGGCGGATAGATCCACCAGGCTCGTCCCAGATAGCGGATTAAATTTACGCTCTTTTCTTTCCTTTTTTCTCCTTTTTCTCCTCCTCCTCCCCTGGTTTCGTGTTACAAAGCCCTGGGAGGGAGTTGCGCGGAGAGTCAGTTCCTCTGTGTAGAAACTGAATGACAGAATCATATGGCTTGATTTGCCTTATAGTCTAAACATTTAAAATATATAGGAAATAAGAGAAGAGAAGAGAGAAACCGCGGGCGAATTCATCTGGCACTGATGAGGATGTGGAATAATTTATAACTCCAATTCAAAAACAAATCCGAGATAACGGAGAAAGAAGAGAGCCAGTGAAAAGGATACTGGATCTGTCGTCAGAGGAAAGACGGAGAGGAAGGCGCAGGACGCGTTGCCTGTAATCATCACCACCATCACCGTAATAATAAGGTAAGTTTATAGCCGTTATTTGTCCTTATGGTGATCGCAGCGCTGCGACGCGGCTGGATTAAAAGTAGACGAAGGAAGCAGAGGTAGAAAACATCCTCCGGAGTCTCCGGATCTCCAACTGTTGCCATGAAGCCCCCTTTTCTTGGAAATAGGACGCATTCAGAGACAACGCGTTGTCTAAAGAGATCATTTGGGTGTTATATGTTGTGCTTTTGGGGCTCAATGTGATGCAACTTTATCTCCATTTCGCGCAGTGTAAACACAGCGCACTGCGGTGAGGAGCAGTTGGAAGGGAATCAACTCCGGGCTTTCACTGTAGTCTGTATCTACAGTATGCTCCAATCACAGTCCGGTGATAAAACTAGACCGTATTGTTTGTACTGCATCATATTTATGTTATAGGCTACTGTTTGCATTGTAGGCAAATATCTAAATAGACCACTTCTAAGGAGGAATCTGCTGCCTTAATCTTTTATTATTTGACTAATAATATTATAAAAGTGTCTGGAGTGTCTGTGGTGCTCTATAATAAACTTTTAGGAAGCTTCCTTTCCTTGATAGTCTTTTGCATCTTTTATGGTATCAATATCATACTTAAATAATATTCCTAACTTACTTTGTGGCTCCTGTTTGCTGCCTGAACAGAGAGTTGTATGGTTTATAGAGAGAGAGAGAGAGAGAACAGGATTCTGCATTCATGTAGATGCATGCTTTTGGAGTTCTGCAGCATCCCACTGAAAACATATGAAGGAATCTAACTAGTTCGTTTTTGCATAGTAGTAGGTGTCATATATTACAGCAGTCGTCCACTTCCAATGCCATAAAAGCATGGAGTCCTTTGATTTGCTGCCTCTATTTCTGCTTGCTCAGTTGACACTCAAAAAATTAAGCCCTCATGGTGACAATAATCCACTGACTTGAGATATTACTTTGGAGTGCTTTCCCCCTTTTGATTTTTTTTTTTTTGCCTTAATGAAGTAAGTATTAGCTTCAGTTGAGTGATTAGTGTAATTACTGAGGGGGGCAGGCGTCCGCTCTGGACAGTGAGCAAGGATTTGTGTAAAAAGGTGGTGGTCTAGGAGGAGGAGGAGGAGGAGTGGGGAGTCTGCCTGGTTTTCCTTGTGTTCTTAGTCTTTTCTTTTTTTTTAACAAGCTGGATGGTGCCAGTGCCAGTTAACTAACAGACAGCACAAGGGGAGACAGTAATAGTTGTGGGAGAAGTTAGTGGAGTCATGTTATTGCCTCATTTGATGGAGGAGGTAGAGAGGAGGACTTTATGTGAGCATTATTGTGCTTGAGGATCCACTTTCTGCTTTGATATTTGTGCAAATTATCTCATAAAGTTTGTCATAGGATTTGTTTTTCATAACGTTGGTGGGCGTGTAGTTCGGTCTGTCTCTCTGTGTGTGTGTTTGTGTATGTCACCGTGTCATTTGCAAAGATTAATGAAAGTAACATACTGATAGAATTCAGCGTGAGCATTGAGCCGCAGGTTTGACATTTGCAGTGTCGAGGGATGTAGCGGAGGATAATCCTAGCAAAATTCACTTTACTCACCTTTTTCAATCTGTGAAATCAAGTTCACAGACCTTTAAAAAAAAGACAAAAGCCTTGATATAAATACAAAGAGAAGATTATTCAAGACTGAAACAGGTTACAGGGAGAGATGTTTGTAAACCAGTTCGGTTGTTGTAGCATTCCTCCTGACATCTGCACTTTTCCCAGTCTGGAAAAAGCCTTGAAAATCCATTTTTAGCAGGGCAGTTGCAACAAAGAGACTCACACACGCACACCAGCCCTCTGGCCCCAGATGTTAATGCCTCCATTGAGAGAGCCACAGGACTCCTGCCGAGTCGATCTCTTCATTGTCACACAGACAATGGACTCCACATCCTGATGGCCAGCCTCCTTCCCATCTTCCCTCACACACTCCTCACACACACACACACACACACACACACACACACACACACACACACACACACACACACACACACGCAATTAAACAGCACACAGTCATGCAGACAAAGAATTGCATGCATCATACATACATGCAAACAGGCCTGCTTTTACAGCTGAGTTCAGGCATAGACACGTCACATAAGTGTTTTTAATTGTCAAAGTTGGACAGATGTTGAACTTCTTTAAACATTTCTCTGTTATTTACAACACGTGTGTGTATTTACCTGCACTCGTGTCCCCATTTGGGTGGTGTGTTGTACACGTGTTCCTGCTGCCATCCACTTCACTATAGGGCTGCAACGAAATGTTATTTTCATAATATATTAATCTGCCAGTTAATTGGTCCTCTAATAAATGTCGTCTCTATGAAATGTCAGAAAATTAAGATAAATGTCCGTTTCCAAGAGACCAAGATGAGGTCTTATTTTAAATTAACTAAAGAAAAGCTGCAAATACCTTCATTTGAGAAGCATTTCTTTGGCACTTTAGTTTGAAAAGCAACTCAATCAAATGACAGTTTCAGGTGAGTTTTCTATTAGTCAATAAACTAATCACTTCAGCTGCACTTCGCTATCTGTGTCAGTCCGTGTGTTTGCTTGTCCGAGTGCATGTGTGCACATATGTGACATAAACTGTGTGTTTTGACATAAAAGGACTAACATTGCATCATAGCTGTCACATCGTCGCTGCACCAGATGTCTCTTGTTTGCCCTTTGTGTGTGTTTGTGTGCTTAATTGTCATCTCTGTGTCACATGCATCGCGTCAATGCTACAGATACTGTGGCCCACATGGCCAGCAGCTGAATGCACAGTAAACCCCTGTGATAACGGGATGATTTCTGTTTTAAAAGCTTTGCATACAGGAACACACACATAGCATTCAGTGTGTGTTCATGCTGCACGGCTAGGGTGTTGTGAGAGTGTATGGATCTGAATTTGCTAACGATAATGAATTTTCGATGGTGGGAGAAGCTTTTTTTCACATCCTCTGCTGAGCAACAGTTGAAGCGCCAGCTTCCCACAGGAGGCATTTTTTTTTCAAAAAGATCTTTTTTATTCCAGCAACAATTCAATTCCTGCTATATATGCCTGTCTTTTCTCTTTAAACTCACTTTCAGAGGCAGATTTTCTTTTTTTATTGCCGTTTCTAAACTGGTCCATGTTTCCTGCTGAGCTGAAGGGAGTTCACATCTTCGGCCATGCCCTCTGTGTTCTGATGCTGCATGAACAGAATCGCCCCGACTTTTTTTTATGTGTGTGAGTGTATGTGTTGAACAGAGATGTGGTTCATGGCAGGCCAGATGCAAGGTCTGGAGAGCCGAAGCAGATGGGGTGTGTGTGTGTGTGTGTGTGCTGGAGGGGAACAGCAGGAGGCTGGGCTGGACAGGCTTATGTTTAGAGAAGACGGAAGGGAAGAGGCTTGTTTACATGACCATAATGGTAAATGGGCTTTGGCAGGGTGCAGGGTCAAAGTGATATGAACCTTGTGTTTTCATGCTTTCATTGCATATGTGCCCACAACATCATTACCACTTTTTCATTATCAAAGACTCTATTATTATTATTATATAGAGGTAGTGCACGCGTGTGTGTGTGGGTGTGTGTTAGTGTTGAGAGAAGGTGTGATATGTGCACAGCTGTGGACTAAAACTGACACACTGACACCGGAATCGAAGTCTGGCTCACTATATCACACTCACGCACACAAGCATTAAAGATTTTTATACATATACATGTCGTTGGCACATTGGTCATGAAAGCTTGTGTATCACCATAATCAAAGTTAATGGGATAACTTGTGGCTTTGTTTCCGTTTTTTAGACCAAAAACCATGAACCTCGCTGCTTCCTGTAACTACGATGTTGCTTCTTGTCCTTCCTCCCTAACTTCCTTTGACGTGCCGTTATTTCTCCTTGTCTTTCCTGAAGAGGATAAATGTGTCGGATGGCCTTTATGTGGTTGTTCCATTGACCTTATCCCCTTCCACCTCTTCTTAGAAGAACAGCTCCCTCTACCTCTTCTGTGCCCTAAAGCAAGAAAGGAAATCAAGATAGCTTCAACACACTGCAATTTAAGACAACACCAGCACGGAGCAAGAAATTCTCCCAACTATTTGACGGCATGTACAGGACATGATGAAATGCATCGCGTATTAAAAACCTCAAGTAAATACAGAAACACTGACAGTCGTACACAACAAGAAGAACACATCAGAAGTTTACTGGGGAAACTAAAAACTGATGAACATGCCCGCCTGGCTGAAGTTAACCACCTGTCACTGATGTTTGAAATGAAGCTGACAATGTTTTAAATTGAACACTCAGATTCTATTATTTGGATAGTATTGGTGATGTTAGCTAACATTAATCTTTTGCTAACTCCCAGCATGTTGTTCTTCAGGTTTTAGTGTCCAGACACTTGTGTTGTGATGTGAATTGTTGCGCCTTAGACCCATAACACATCCTACATGTAAATGCAAACAGTGTGGACTACTTATATTGTAGCATGTACACTGACTTGTTTGATTCGTTGTACACCACTGTGTGTGATTTTGATTCAGCATCGTCTGTTTTAAATTGATGGCTGGAAAGCAATTTGTTACCTGTACTGACAAGTGCTACACAAATAAATATATTATCATTATTATTATTATTATTGTTATTATTATTATTATTAATATATATCAGTTGTCTTTTTACACAAAGAAAAAGTAAAATGTTATTTGCTAGTGATTTAATACATGTCTTTAATCTTTTGCTTGCCATTATCTTCCTGGAGCTGTCTCCCCACCACCTGCAATTTATTTGAATGTTTCTCAGATGTGAGTAATACCTCCATTTATTTTTCCAGGAGAATAGTCTACATCAACAGCATGCTCAAAAAATCAAGTGTTGTGTGCTTAATAAGCTTTATTTTGTCACATTTCTGAAACCTGTTCAGATTTAGAGTGTAGAAAGGAATCGTGGCACAGTTTATGACTTGCAGTGTTTATTTATGCTGCGGATATGAAATTTGTGACAGTAGTTCCCAATTTGCAT